CTCGAACTGCCGCACATCTGTGCAAAGTTCTATGTTGAACCAGCCAGTCAAATTCCAAAGTGTTATCCACTAGACTTATTTATTTGAGTCACTTTGTATTTCCCATTTATTGGTTGCATTGAACTGACTACCACCACTCACTAAGAATGCAATTACTTCCATCTAACGAATCGCAAACAAGATGCAACGCTAATCCTGAATTCTAACGGCGCCTATATTACTAACCAAATAACATCATATTAATCTCATACCGTCGTCGAAGTGTCTGCACTTAGAGCCAACAAATTAAAAGAAACCCAACATTTCTGTCTGGTAAAAATCAGTCCATGGGAAGACGAAGGTCAGGAAGATACTCATGCATCAACAGTAATAACAACCAGTACCAATCCCTGTCGACGGTAGGAATTTGAAAGAGGTTACTCCCTCCATTTCTCTGGATAGGCGGCATTATTTCAACCACAGGCGACAGTATGGATGAACAAGCCTAGCCACAATCAGAAAGGCAACGTACAACTTCATTATGAAATCAATTTTGAAATCTTCTGTACTCAGGATAAGGAACAAGATTAGGATTTTCCACACAAAAGCTAAGTTAATTCACTTCTTCTATGTGGGTCAGAAACTTGACTCACACCTCACCAAAAGCATTTCCTTCAGGTGGTTAAAGGCTTTTGTCAACGGTAGTCTTCACTGGTTCCATACTGAATATCAAATGGCCAGATGGCCAGACAGAATTACCAGCAAGAAAATGGAGAAACAAAACAACAGACGGGAACCTGTCGCTCACACAGGTATTCCGAAGAAAAAGGAGACGGATTGGCCATACTCCAGGCCATCGCATGAGTTGAACCCAAATTGGAAATTACGCGTTAAGCGTTGATACGAGGGTGGTATGGAGGAAATCATGTGATGAGGAGGGGATGAGAGACTATGGGTCATCATATGGCCAGCTTAAGAGGGCCGCATGGAATAGAACACAATAGAGACGTCCCGCTGAGGCCCTATATTCCACTCATAACCCAAAGGAACAATAATAATAGATGGAAAATACAAAATAACTTGAACAAAAATCTTTAAAACTTATTAATCCATTTTATGGGTTTATTTTTCTGAGTGGAAGACTTTCCGGTCAGATGTGTACGTGATGGAACTCTTATCCAGTCTACACCATTTCAGGCACTCAAAATCTACAGCGATGTAGCTCACGTTTTCACAGGCGATATGAATAAGGTTTAGTATAGTCTGAATGCAGTCAATGTTACCTCATGAATTAATGGTAAGAGAATCTAGGTGATATAACCCGGAATCAGTCTAATAAGGTACAGATCCATTCATTCATTACCTTAGCTATAATATTTTCTCCCCTCTCTCTTTTTCTCTATTTGTAAGATTTATCTTGCCTAACTTTTATTGCTTGCTACAAAAATAGAGGTTTGGTTCAATCGTTTAAGTACCCAAATTAAAGTCACTGGATAACAAGTCCGATTCACGGTGGCACAGTGGTTAGGACTCTCGCCGACCATGCACATGGTCCGGGTTCGAGCCACGCCGGCGAACACCTGATATCTATGGTCGGCCTGCGAAATTTGGGCTGCCGATATCCATGCTGAAAATTCCATACTTGTACCCAAAAAAATACAGTGTGGAATCAAGCTGTAAATCTATTAAAAATAAAAAATTCGAGTCTAGGCAACTGGATACCATCACCGACCCCCACACTAATTGTGTGGCCTATGAAAAAATGATGCTGGCAACTCATTGCTGCAACCCTCTATTAGATGTTTAGATATGATCTTTTGTGCTTTTTTAAAAATTCCTTTACGTTCCACGTAGAACATACGGCTTCAAGCTAGAGGCTTTGAAGTTTCGGTAGCAGTGTTTACTTTTAAGGGGTGGGACTGCTAGGTTAACGAGGTAAAGAAGTGCGTCTGTGGCCGTGGATCGAACCCCGGACCACATGCATGGTCGGTGAGCGTTCTAATGCTAAGCCACCGATGACGTTTTGTAATAGCTGAAACTTTTATCATTTTATAGAAAGATGTAAAGAAAATGTGGTTAACGTAAGCACCATTTTTAGAATATGCAAATCACAGGTTTGTTGAAATTATACCTCCTAAATTAAAAATATTTATATATATATAAGCTTACTGATCGATTTAAATGGTGTTTTCGTCTCTGAAATGATTAACACAGTGAAAGGACGTCAAGTGGGCATCAAGAGAATATTGTTATAGAGAATGAAAGCATGAATGGTTTTCATCGATAGATGTTACAGAAATCCATATACCCTTTACTTTGGTTTATGTGCCAATAACGTCGTCGATAACTCTCTTAACGCATGTCATCGCAAACTATCATATACTTTCAGGAAGAAGCATAGAGAGAGAGAGAGTTAAACAGTTATTTATTCAGCTGTTTATGTATCCAAATAGATTTTCATGTAGTTGTGTTCTCTGAACTGGGTGGTTTATTCACAAAGTTTTCATTACCCCCAACTAGGCAACATCTTCAGCGCGTACTTCAGTTTGAATTGAAGTGTGCTTTTAGATTTCTCCACGAGTTTATCAGTCATCTCTCCCGATGATCCTGAATGTGATTCGTTGTTTTTGTGTGTTTCCACACCCTTTAGGCAACTTGTATTGGTACTGATTGTTCCCTTCACCTGAACTTTGACCCGTTGTGTGTGAGATTTCTTTCTTATCGATTGGTAGATTTCGTCTATCTAGATGTGTCTATTGATTGATGATTCACTGGAATGCCAAGTTTCTAAAACTTGCCCAGCATTTTTGGTGTTTCTTCCGTCTGAAAGTTAGTTGTCCCAGTCGAATTAATGTCCATGGTCGTCTGTAAGCAAAGATATGTGCGAGAGAGTGAATGTCGTGTCTTTTGACGACTGTTTTATGCTCATGGACACGAAGACGTAGGGGACAACCACTTTGGCCAATGTAGCGTTTTTCGCAGTTGTTACAACTTATTTTGTGGATGATGTCGGTTTTTTCTTCTTTCGTTGTTGAGTCTTTTGGATGACAAAGAGCTGAGTGAGGTGATTTTGTTGGTTTATGTGCGACACCAATTCTTTGAGGTTCGAAGAGCCTTACAGTAATTTCTAAGACGTCCTTTATATTTAAAAAGATGACTTTGTGTTTTCTTTGAAGGTCTTTGATTTGGTAGGTTGCCTGGGAATTATGTGACTTTTGATGAAGTTTCGTGGGTATCCATTTTTTCTGGAAGACATCTATGATTTATTTTTTTTCTATATTCCTCAAGGCAGGAGTGCTACAATGAGTCCTGGCTCCCTTAAATAGTGTTTGCATGCAACTCCCTTTGTGTGTTATTTGACTGATGCTGTTGTAATTGAGTATTTGATCTGTGTAGGTTGATTTTCTTCAAACCTGAGTTTCTAATTCTCCTGTGGTCGTTCGTCTGACTAAGACATCCAAAAATGGAATTTTGTCCTCGAATTCTTCTATTGTGAATCTGATGTCGTTGAAGATGTTGTTTATTAGGTTGTGAGTTTTGTCTAAATCGTTTCCTTTGATTACCACGAATGTGTTATCCAAGTAATGGATCCAAATTTCGGGTTTGATCTTTGGTAGGGTTATGTTTTCAAGCCTTAGCATCACAGCTTCTGCAGTCAAACCTAATATTGGCGATCCCATGTGTGTTGTTGCTTTAACTTGTTCATATATTTGGCCGTTGAATTGGAAGTACGTTGCTACGCATAGGTTTATGCATTCCATCCAGCTTGTGTGTTGCATTTTTGATTGTTGTAGGAGGTGTTCGTCGTTGCTAAGTAATTGCTCCATGGTCTCTTTTGCTAGTTATTTTCGATTGAGGTATATAATACTGTGACGTCGAAGGACATCATTATTTCTTGTTCATCTATTTGGATACCTCTGATTTTCTCTAGGAACTGAATAGCAGAGTTGATGAAGTGATCACAAGATTCCGTCAGGTGTTTTAGTTTTCTGTATAATTCTTTGGACAAATTATATGTTGAAGTTCCTAGAAGTGATACAATTGGTCGTAACGGGATATTTGGTTTGTGTATTTTTCGTCCGCCGTAGAATTAGCGTGGGACTGGTCTACTGGATTTCACTCGCCATTGGTCTTGTTTTGTAATCTGTCCAGTTTTGCTGAGCTTGTTTAAGGTTCTTTGGACGCTGTTATCTAGTGATTGTATGGAATTTATTGTGAGTTGTTGATATGCATCCTCATATTTCAGTAGTTCTCCAGCTTTCTTGGTGTATTCTTCTTTGTCCATGACCACTGTGGTTCTTCTTTTGTCAGCTAGTAGAAAGATGATGTCCTTCCCATTTTCAAGCTTCTTCAGAGCCTTTAGTTCTTGAGCGTTGAGTTGTGTGTGTTGTTAAGTTTTGAAATTTGTATACAGTGTAGGTGCTACCGATTGGTCAACACTACCACGAACTCTGTGTGTGTAGAAAAGGTTTGTTCTGTCTGATATTATCTCATGGTCTTAAACAGTACGTTAGTTAGTCATCTGCTTCGTTTATCCAATGCGCCAAAAATGTATCAGACCATTTAGAGTTAAATTTATCTACCTAAAGGTTAGTGAACATCCACAAAACGCAACTGATAGACACTTCAGGTATATGGGACATTTCGGCGATATATCCTACAACCAAATTAAGTATGCAAAGGATACTGAATAGATAGTGATTTGACGAAGCAACTATTGCAATTAAAACATTTTTTAACCAAACTTATACAGAAACAGAAAAGGCTACTACTCAAATAGAAGATAGGAAGTGAAGCATCAAGGGATCACCACCAAAAGAGATGAGGAATACTCAATATGAATGTAATCTTAAGTATGATCATAAAGAAAGAAAGGGTACTCATTAAATGTTCTAATGGCTTTTGAGTGAGTATTATTTATAGATTTTTATATAAAAATAACTAACAATGAACCCTTCAAGTGGAAAGAGATTAGACACTCAATCTTTTAACGTAACTGAAAATCAAACTAAACGATTTACCTTATCTGTCCGACGTAATATGGCCTCCATAATTTCAGGTGTTGGCGGTTTAGCATCCTTATTGATCAAATAGTAATCTACAACACAAACGCGTTGATATTTACCACCACATGATGCCAATGGAGCTTTATACGCTGAACAGGAACCACAAAACAACTAGGTGATAAACAAGAAGAAAGCGAAACAGACAATCACTCATCAAGTAAACGAACTAAGGACTGGCTAAAATTTGAATGTAAACTTAATCAAATGTGGGTGTTATTCCACAGGTGACTGGAGATATTCGTATGGATAAGACAATTCAGGTGTTGAAATGCAGGCATTTGACTGGTTGCATGATTTCCTGGTCTTGGGTTCGAACTCCTGTGGTTGGCGCGTACTGACAAAGATCTAAAAACCAGGACGAAACAGCTGTCCAATACTCCAGTACTAGTTTTCAACGGTTCTCTATCTGATATCAATCCGTGAACAAACTTGAAAAGTAACACAAAGTAAAATGCATTTAGCTTTGTAAACATCCATTGATGAAGTTAATTAGTGGATGGTGACTAGCAGTGGAAACCAGGGTGCGCATTTCGTCCTATTTGGGACTCATCATCTGGATGTACCTGCATTTCGCAGTAAGTAATGATGTTTCCATCGAGGCTTGAACCCAGTGGCCATAGTTTTAAACACCAAAGCGTTATCCATTTATGAAAATCATTCATCCTTTCGTAAGAATATATGCTGAATTCCGAATGCGAATTTGTGTTTCATTAATACCCTGCATTAATATCTGATAATATCGAGTGGATTGGTTAAGCATGTCAAGAATTTTTTTAACTTAATTGGACACAATGGATGGTAAGTAATGCCAAGATTACAGGACTTCGTTTGGTGCAGATTGAATTCTATCAGTAAAGTTTGCAATGCAACCACCATGCTAGGTACTAGGTGGCTTACCATCACAATGCACTGTGAGTTGTTTTTAGATGATTGGAGTCAAGGCGTATTTGCAGTCTTGAAATGTGAACCCGTGTCGCACAGTGTGCTGCAGTCAGAGATGTTAACACTGAGCTATTCGCTTAAAACTGGGTGATTCGGGTTTGAATATCATAAAGAATATGAATTCCTTCAAGATTGCAAATATGCCTTGCTTAAGAGTTCCAACAAACACGAAATCTAAGTCCAATGTTTCCTGTCAACTGTCTCAAAACCATCTAGAAGCACAAATGTCTTGTCGCTGAAATGTTGTATCAGCACTGGTTGGTTACTGGCTAATGTAATCCTCAATAGGATACGAAAAACTTGTTTGACTGTCATCCCATTCTTGTTTCTGCTAGTTCGTTTGTCACTGACTGACCTACATTCAGTTCTGTTTATATCTACGGCTCTAAAATACTTTGAGATATAGGCTTCAGCAAACTTAAGTTTTAATTAGTGCTAAGTCATCCGGTACCGAACCATTAGCCATACACGCTTATTATGTGACTGCTAATGATACTGTCCAGTTTTTTAGGCTACAGTAGGTGGAGAGAGATTTCATCTTGAGACCCAGTAGCTTCTAGAAGTCCGGCGCCTAAGCCAATGAACTATGCCGACTTAAAAAACAAAACAAATAAAGGAACAGTACTTTGCAAAAAAATGCATACATACACACATACCTTTCCACAGGCACGACAATGATGACGTCTATTAATTGTAGTAAATTCAGTACAGCAATTTGTACACATTGTAGAGGATTCATCTTTAACCCATTGAGCTGCAACTTCACCCAAATTATTAGTATTCAGTAAGGTTTTCTAATAAATTAGATTTAGAAAGAAAAAGAAGAGGAGTTAGGCAGTGCAAGTAGTACATCACACAAAGAATTAGAATCGAAATCTTTATGAATCTGTTATTGAATTCGATTTGGACTTTCTCACTGATTGATTAGACGGAAGTGTTCGGCCTCTGTTAACATGTTGGCGCCTTGTACGGATGCTTCGACGATGTCTGCGAAATTCAACCTGAAGTGATTTAGTGGGCAGTGGCTAGCAGCAGGTTGAATCCAGGATGCGTGTTTTGTCCTGTTTGGGACTCGTCAGTTAGCTGGATGTACTAGCATTCCTTAGTGATTGATGGTATTCCCACTGTTGCTCGAACACAGCACACACCGTTTCAAACGCCAAAGTGTTACCCACTTGATCAACTGGACTGCGAGATGAGTAGTGGATTCGAGCTTCAGTGGAGACACTGTCACTCACTGGGGACTTTTAGATACATTATTATTATCACCAATCATATTCCTAATTGTGGTGGACTGGATTATGCGTCAGACGGTGAGTGGGAAATGAGAAGACAGGGATTTCCTGGACCGAGCGACGTGAAGAACCTAGAAGACCTGGGTTTCGCGCGGCGATGATTTATGCTTGATGTCACACAAAATCGAAGACTTAAAAACGAAAACCGACAAACTGGTCGAAGAAGCGGCCGGAGAAGACAGGACTCCAGGTGAACATAGACAAGACGGAAGTTATGAAAATAACCACCACCACCAACCGACAACAACAACAACAACAGCAACATACAGCGCCAATCACCATCAACGGGAGGGATTTGAAAGAGGTTACTTCATTCACTCACTTATCTAGGGAGCATTGTCTCAAATACAGGCAGTCGGAACGGATGAGGATATCGAATCGAGCGAGAATGGGGAAGGCGAGAAATACATTCACGCATCAACCTGAAACCAATCTGGAAATCTTCCGCTGTCACTCAGCAGCATCAACAACAAAATTCGGTCGGATTTTCAATACAAACTTCAAGTCAGTCAGTTCTTCTATACGGACTGATCAGAAACTTGGCGGCGGGCGGGCGGGTGACAAAGAATATTTCCAACAGCCTGTTGCAGACCTTTATCAACAACTGTCTTCGCTGGCTCTATACTGAAGATCAGATGGCCGGGCCGGAAATAATCACTAACAAAAAACTATGGGAACAAACAATGTAACGACGCCTGTTCTCACCACAACAAAACAAGAACCAATCACCCAGCAAATATGCAGGAGAAATTGGAGATGGATTGGACACTCGCTGAGGAGGCCGGTTGGTGACATCACGCGTCAGGCCAATGCTCGAGTGAAACCCAAAAAGGAAGCGGCGAGTGGGACGTCCAAGGGTTATATGGAGGAGATGGTGTGAAGAGGAGTTGAAAGAGTGTGGACTAACATGGATGTAGGGGAAAAGTATAGCAGAAGACAGAAGCAAGTGGAGACGTCCAGCTGAAGCCCTATATTCCACTAGGAACCCAAGGGAACAATATTAATAATAATAGATACATCCAGATGACGAGTCTCAGGTAAGATGAAATGCTCATTCTGGATTCCACTGCTAATCACCAGCCATCAATTGCTACATGAATTATGTTTTCTTAAATGTGTACCAGAGATTATGCAAAAAAATCCATTACAGCAATCATACATGGGCTTTTTAATTAGACTAATGTATAACAACGGGAAGCTAATTAGACGCTCAGGTATCACTTATTTATTTCAGCACAATCTGGAGATTCGCCATACAAGATAAGTAAAGAACGATACAAAGTAGATCTAGTGAGCAACAGGATTTTGAAAATTGGCAAGCGTATTTATTAAATTTATTAAAGAAGCCTTCACCACTTCAGGCTGTTACTTTCAACAAAAGAGGAAGACAGAAAACTGTGAAGTGATTGACAGTATTTAAGGTTCCCCTCAGTCATATTGAATAAAGTCTAGAGTCATGGGCTGGTATCACCTCTACGACCTCACCCAGGACATAACTCACTGAGTGACTGACTGATTTCAACATAGAACTTTGCACAGAAATGCACCAGAAGTTCAAGTTGCCACGCTCCATGCAGCACACGAAGCAAGACAAAGGAGATGAAGTTTCAGAAGAACAATCAAAAGCAGATATGTGAAGGAGAAAGAATAGTAACGTGCCAAACAATAGCGTTTAATGGATATTGGGAATCACAAAGACTGAATGGTTCTTCGCTACTGAGGACGAAAATGACAATAGTAATGATAGTCATAATCATAATAATACTAAGTGCGTCGGTGGTACAGCTGTAAAATGTTCGCCAACCACGCAATTGCTCCGAGATTCTATCCCCGGCTGGAGCATTCCCTTACCTCGCTAAGCTAGTAATAAGACCGGTAAAGAGAATGGTTGGCATGAGGCTAGCAACCCCATCCCGTAAAACTAAACACCACTGCTAACAAAACTTAATGTCTCCAGCTTGAATCCCTATGCTCCAGTGGGAACGTAAAGGAATGAAGTAGTAGTAATAGTAAACTTGCATAATAAAAAGAAGCAAAATTATAGTATGAACGTCATTCTGACCAGAGTAGGGTGAGTGACGGCATGTAGTGCTTCTGAACGCAAAGATCCGGTTCCAGGTACCAAACAGTTATTGATTCAGAAATGTATGGATAGCGTATTCGAAGTCTCTTCATGAGATACTGAGGAGTTCTGTGTAGCACTGTGAAGCATTCATACGGGGGTAGTCGATGTCCACAGTTGACAAGGTGTTCAAGGATAGAGCTGCTAGTATTCTTCTTTTCTCCTCTGGCTGGCTAGTCGAGCTGGACAGTCTTCCAGAACACGTTTCCGGACTTGAAATTGCGTATGGTTGATATAGTTTGCGCCACACGAACTAGTAAACTTATAAGGACACACTGGGTGGCTAAAAACGGTATCTTATCTCTAATGTTAGACTGGATTAACTGTCTCCATGTGGATGTTATGCGTACGGTGGCTACTTGGAATGTATACTTCAGACATTTAGAAAGGTGGTTTCTAGGAATTTCTGCTTCAAAGTCGCCTTCGAATTCCAGGTTCATGAAGGCAAGTTTTTTAGGAACAGTCATGATGTTTGGTGACGGAGGCTTTTCTTGCAAGTTTTTGTGGATGAATCTCAATGGATACTCGTTCTCCAGTAGGGTTTCACATAATGAATTTAATTCATTCTCTATTGTGTTTTCCGGACAGATTCTTTTAATCCTTGAACATAATGTACTTACTAGGTTTGGTTCCGGATTAGTGAGAAGAAGCTCTTAAAGTTGATAAACTGCTCGGTCCATGTTTGTTTGTGATATATTGATCCTTGGATTGTGCAATCTTGTCATTTTATGAGTAGCACACTCAGGAATGGAAACAACATGTTTGATTAACGTTCTAGGATGAGTTTTATCGATGGATGTACCACGTTGAAGGCTTTGAGGAGATCAGAATCACATTCTTCATCACAAATTAAAAACGTCTCATCTATGTATCTCTGATACAGGTGCAGTTGACCGATCAAAGGATCGAGGAAGTTGTTTTCGAGACTCTATGAAACAGTCAGCTAACATTGGACCATCTTTCTGCACGTAAAATTGCTCATTGCATTTCAATTAGATATCATACATTATTTAATCTCTCTCTCTTTCCATCTACCTCTAAGTATTTGTTGCTACATTCCATATCTCCGGTCAAGGCGTTGCGTCTTTTCGATTGCACGTATGCAGTGTTGAATCGATAAACAAAGATTCAGTGATTAACCTCTCAGTAATATAGTTAGGTGGACTGAAAGAGTTTTAAACTATGGGTCGTATTTATTGCATGAGGGCCAATAATACTATCCGATTACCCAGGCAGAAGTAAATAAAGTAGGATTCGAACCCGAAACCTAATGGCAGCTTGAAAGCGATTGCATGATAACAACAAAAGCTTTATTCTAAACAGTGTTTATATTATTATTATATCCTTTAATTCCTAGAGGAACATAGGGCTTCAGCTTCACGTCTCCATTGCCTTCTGTTTTCTGCCAACTTTTTCACTCCGCTCCAAGTCTGCCCACATGTTTTCATCTCCCCTGCACATGACCCCTCCAAGTCGCCCTCGCACTGACGACCAACTCGCCGCCTCCCTTTCGGGTTCCACTCGAGGGCTTGTCTAGTGATGTCACTTGATGGTTTCCTCAGAGTATGGCCAATCCATCTCCATTTCTTCCTGCCTATTTGTTTCACATTTGGTTCTTGGTTGGTTCACTCTCAGAGATCCCTGTTGCTGAATTTTTTCTGTCCATCTTATCTTGAGTATTGAGTGAAGACAACTGGCAATGAAGGTCTGAAGTTTGTTTGAGGTGATCTTTATGACTCGCCACGTCTCTGATCCGTATAGTAGCACTGACTTCACATTGGAGTTGAAAATCCGGATCTTATTTTTGATGCTGAGTGGGGCTGTCGACCTCCACACAGATTTGAGAGTAATGAAAGCTTGTCTTGCTTTTCCGATTCTGGCTTTGATATCCTCGTCAGTTCCGCCTGTAGTTGAAACGATGCTTCCCAGGTAGGTAAAGGAGAATGTTTTTTTTCAGGTTCCTCCCATTTATGCTGATTGTTGTCTGTTGTTGTTGTTGCTGTTGGTGTTGGCCAGGAATCTTCATCACCTCTGTTTTCTCTATGTTCACCTGAAGTCCTAACTTCTCTGGATGCTTCTTCTGCCAGCTTGTTGCTTTTCACTTGCATATCTTCCAGTTTATGGGAAATCAGACATATATCATCGGCGAAGTCCAGATCCTCCAAGTCTTTTGTGTGAGTCCATTTTATGCCCGTTCCCTCGTTGGTTGCCGTTGTCTGTCGCATTATCCAGTCTACTGCAATCAGGAAAATCATTGGTGACAGTAGACAGCTTTGTCTCACTCCCCTCCTCACTTCGAAGACTTCCGTAAGTTTCCCGTTGTGGATTACTTGTCATGCAGCATTGTCGTATAACTGTTGAATGAGATGTATAATTGTCGACGGGACCCCGTAGTAGCGAAGTAGTTGCCAAATGACCTCTCGATCGACGCTGTCGAAGGCCTTTTCAAAGTCGATGAAGTTGAGATAGAGAGGTGACTGCCATTCCAAGCTTTGTTCAATGATGATCCGTAGAGTGGCGATTTGATCAATACATGATTTGTTTCTCCTGAATCCGGCCTGTTCCGGTCGAAGTTTTTCATCAAGGGCTTGTTTGATTCTCTCCAGGATGATGAGGCTTAGTATTTTGCTTGGGATGGACAGAAGCATAATTCCGCGCCAGTTTTTGCAGAATGTACAGAATTTTCCGCGGACCTCATTGCATGATATTTCCTCTTCTTCCAGGATCTTCAAACAAAAGATTAATTGACTGACAGTAGATCGTGTGGCACAGTTTTATCTGACCTGAAGTGCACACCAATCCATTTTGATGATATCTCCTCTTCTGTTTTCTTCTTCGAGAAATTTATGATATTCAGGTGAACGCCAATTTTAAAACGTTCAGGGGGACATTTTGTGAACTAAGGACACCACTCAGGAACAGGTATCTCATGTATTCGGATTAGCTGCCATCGAGGATAATGCCTTTCCTCATGTTTAGCAGAAACTTGCGAAACCGTAAGTTGTAAATGTTCTAAATACTCTCCAGAGCAAACAATACTGCATTAGAGGCCAGGTTTTACAAGATTTAAACAAATTGAATCAGAGAAACTATATGCAAAATATTGATGGAGGATGTTTTCAGTAGCCCAAGTTTTAAGCAGGCCACCAATGAGCAGTGTCTTTATACCCGCTACATGTACAAGTAATTACAATCTTTAATTTTGGAACAAATAAGTTAAACATAAGCTTTCAGTGAAATACAAAATGGAGAGAACGTTAACTTCAAAATAAAAAAGTTAGTAAAAACATCAGAATTATGGATACAAGATATCAGCTTACTTTTTCATCATAACTATTACTATTCGGTTTATTACATTCACAATCGATTGCCTGTTGTAATTCATTCCACCAGAGGAGTTTCTCATTTTCGCTTCTAGGATGATGAATAAATTTAAAAAATGGATAAACGTAGGTAAGTTATACTGAGATAGATGAATTATAGAGTGGTTTCACGAAGTAACCAATAAAATCTTTCGTTTAATTTTGCGTGTATCAACTAAGTTTTTTCAACTTTTCATGCGTTCGTCAAATGCTCATCAACGAAATTGGCGTGAATTCTCCAACGTCAAGGTTTGTACAAAAAGTGCGACAGTTTGAGTCTGTGCAAGTCGTTTACACGAAATTGCAGGTGTGAAGACGACGAGCAGGATGACTGCTAGTGAATAGGAGGATGACAATAGTAAGCATTTTTCCTTCAAACAACCAGAGAACATCCAATACTTGAAAATCAATGAAATGCTTGCTAGCGACAGGCCCTGTTGAGGTAGATAGTTATCTGGGGTTCTAGTGGGACATCGTGACCAGTAGGGTGCAGCAGGTCAGGTGTGAGGACAAATACTCGCTGAAGACATTGGCTAGCGGTAGCGCTATGTCGTGAATTGGCAGAAGTTGGAATTCATGAATTGGCCATTGGATCAAGTCCCAGTGGCTTAATGATCTACCAGCTTGCCTTGCAACCAGAAGGTCCTGGGTTCGAACCCTTGCGGTGGGTCTGTCCTGGGACGAAACAACTGTTCAGTACTCCAGTTGTGGTTTTCCAATGGTTCTGTCACCAATGTCAGCTCACGATGAAATCCTGTAACCAGAGAACTCTTTATGGTGACTCTACGCTTTGAGGAAATGGGGATTAGAAAAGACCATTCGAAAAACGTGTACCACTCGGCTTACTCTGTAGTGGCCTACAGTCAACTGTAAGGTCCCTATACGAATACAACTACAAAATACCAATTCAAACAGGCTGTATGTGACCCAACGCAAGCGGTTATCTCCTGGATTCAACGAGCATACAATACTCTTCGTGTCTTCAGAACATCAAGAAGTTATCTTTAACAGATTTCGTAATGGAGCACTGTGACTGTGTCACTTGTCGATGGGAAGTATCACTGTTGAATGTAGCCTGTTTATTTAAGGGTTGGTTTTGAGATATTTGAATTCTTAGACTGTTTGTATAGACTGCCTGGCTGGGGTCCTTGAGACGCATAGAAACAGAGGTTGGAAAATTTGACGGCATGGCTTAATACCCTTCTCAATGGGGCAAATGCATTCACTTTTTGTAGACTCCTAGAACCCCTAAAATCTTCATTATTTATCGTTTATCTCGTATTATTTATCATCATCATCGGTAGGCGCCGGATCATGGGTTCGAATTCCAGTGGGTGCGTACTCATGAAGAGTCCCAAACTAGACTGACGAAACAGCTGTCCAGTACTCCCATGTTTTCCAATGGTTCTCTAACTAATGTCAGCTCATGATGAAATCCTGTAATCATTCAAAGTTATTTTTCATATGTGGCATAGAAAGGCGCGAAACTGTTCGGTATTTGAAAGAGTTTAGAACTTTGATGTCAGCTGAATATTACGTTGCTATGTTTTGTCAATCTTACTCTACTTGTCAAAACAAGTTTTCACCCTTTAGGCTGTATGACACACACTGCGACAACCCTAGTGAGTAAAAGTGTCAACATTATTGTTCACAATTTATTGATTATCTACAGTTTTTTTGTTCGCGTTTTTGTTTTCTGAGTAGAAGACATGTGACCATCTACGTATGCTGCTTATGGGCATGATGAGAGATTAAAAGAAAAAAAACACCAAGTTGAATACTTTGTCAGTGATATTTCTAGTCGCAAACAAGTCATATTATGAGCAGCAGTATATGCGTGTGTGTATATAATGTATGCAAATATTGATTTGTACCTGAATGATTTTTTTAAATAGCCTCCATTCGTTTTCATATTCGACTGAGTAATTTCAATTATTTTCAAGTTTACTTACTGACTGACAGCAGGCAAACAGACAAGTGTCAGATTATTCATGGTATAATAATAGTATGAGTATATTTTTTATGGATGACAGGCAAGTCTGATTTTCTAAAAATTTATTCATCCGTCACATCAATACCACTGGGTCTATTGACAATCGACTAAAATGACGTCTGTCTACCACTACTACTACGTCTACTGCTAAAAAGGTATTGAAATGATGAATGTTCATATCATAAACACCTGAAAATTATTTGATTCTACTTGATCAATAAGTACCCAATATGAATTTATCCAAAATTGCCACAGACAATTAAGTAATCATGAAGAATTCCTGACTGACTAACTGGTTTCAACATAGAACTACTTTGTACGGATGTGCAGCAGTTCAAGTCGCCACACTCCATGTAGCAAACAAAGCAAGAGAAGAAAGTACATGAAATGCAAAATAGCGACAACAGACAGGAATATGAGACAAAGAAATAGTAATAACGAAGAACAATATAGTTTTGTTGGATATTATAAGTCACAAGGAGTGGATGAATCTACACCAGACATTGAGAACGATTTTGAACCATATCACCAATTGTTTCCAGCCATCGGTGTTTACTGTCCCGAGGACCCCAACCACTCAGGAAGTCTACACCTCCCTACGTGGCTGGCTGGCTGGCTTAAACTAACTGTTGTGCATTTCATTCACTGATGAGGCCATGTTTTGGTTTGACCGCCACTATCTCTTTTCCAGCCTGACCCTATGTCAGCTAACATTGGCCGCCGACGAAGGCGATCGTTGGCTAGGGATGCATACGTAACACATGTCCTAATCATCTCAGTCGATATAATTTCACAGCCTCATCGATTGATTTCCCCTCGCTCCATACCTAGAACTCGACATAAGACTAACCTCAATATTCCTCACCCTATTATACCACTTGACACGGGAGACACAACGCAGGCACCTATGATCGAAGACAGCTAGACAATCTTTTCATGTCTTCCACTCTCAATGACCAGGTCTCACAGTCATAAGGGAGGACGGAGGGGTTTGCTGAAGAATTCCTATTCGAATATTAATAAGAAACCAAACGCGTAGTTCAGTGAAGAGGCTCTTTTCAGTGAATTCATGTTCCTCTGTAGCTGTACAATTATATTTGTATACAATTTTATCGTGAAGGAGGGTAGTAACTATCTTCGTAGAAACGCTAAGAGTAGTGTTTTTCATTGATCATATATTGATCTGAAGAAGCCTTAAGGACATGATCTGACATCTAACCACTTCTGCTTGCATATATCAGCTCACCTGTTGCTGTGCAGCTAGCCGAGTATATTGGTCGTTCGACGCGTATCTGGTCCAAAAGGGATCAAGAACACTATCCAACCACATGCTTTCAGAAAGGTATTAATAGTAGCTCTGCGAGTTTTTTTATATTGTTTTACGTTCCCACAGGAACATAGGGCTTCAAGATAGAGGCTTGAAGTTTCTATAGCAGTAGTCGTTATTTTTACATGATGAGGTTTCTAGCCTCATACCCAACCTTCCTTCTTTACCAGTCTTTATCACTGGCTTAGCTAAGTATAGAAGTGCGTCGGCCGGGGATCGAATCCAGAACTACCTGCGTGGTCAGCGAGGACTCTACCGCTGTGCCACTCCTACGCTGCGAGGAGTGCAATAATCGAAAACCTTTTCAACAACACTGGTCATTCCATCTCAACAAACTCCTCTTTCTAAGCAATTTACAAATCGAAGAATAATATGCCAAGGACAATATGCTTTCGTCTCCACGGCGCATTACTGAAGCTTTAGCAATCCAGTTGGAAAAACCAGAACTGTGCGTACAAAAGGAAATCTTTCGACCACTTCAACAACTGTGTTGATTTCTACTGACTTGATTTCTGTGTACTTGCTTTTCTAACTCACCTTGTATTTCTTCACAACTTTTACATAATTCCATATTTTCGTTCGCTTCAGTGTGCAAACTGATAACAAGTTACTCATAAAACCATTCATTTTATCACGTGACTACAATTCATCTGTTCAGCTCCTTCTATACATTGACTAATATTAACAATTATTTTTCATTTGTTTTTTATTATTGCTTGATTCCACACCGTATTTTTGGTATAAGTATGAAATTCACAGCATGTGATATCGGTAGCTCAATTTTTGCAGGCCGACCATTGATAACAGGCGTGAGTCGGCAGGGATCGAACCCCGGACCTTGTGCACGGTCGGCGAGAATCCTAACCCTTGTGCCAACGATGCACAGACTTATGCAATGAAATGAATGAAAAACAAAATTTACTTACGAGAAGGCAAGTTCAACGCATAATTCCTTCGCTTTAATTCTGAAACAATGATCAACATTAATTTCTTCATCATCTTTCACCTCACATAGCTAAACAATACAAGATTTTTAAAAACAAAGCAGGACAATAACTGGTTAAAGTAGTATATCATTTCTGTACGGAAAAAGATTAAGTATTCGAAATGGTCAACATTATTATTATTTCACATATTTGGTTCCCTTCATAAATTTAGATAAAGGAAAGCCAGATTTGCAGTATGAAATGATATCACTCCATTTCACAGGTTCTCATCAGCTGCTGTAGACTACCTGAAATTAAAATGGTGATAAAAAAGAATGCCAATAACATACTCCAATGTTTGAACGGTAGTAGTAGAGAGAACAATTTAAAATTAACGCATCCGAAATACAACCAGCATTACAATTGGCTTTATTTTAAATTACCATGAATTTATATGCTTTGAAAATAGAAATGGATTGTAGAGGAGGGGAGGAGAAGATAGAAAACTAGAAACATCCAATACACAGTTTTAGTTTATAGGTTTACAATAGCAACTCAAAAGGTCATAGGTTGTCCAACTGTTGAGAAAGGGGCAGTGTTTATTTGCCTCCCATTCAAGGGAGAAGTAGTATCACGAAAGATTGACAAGAAAATGAAAGGAGCAATAAAAAGACGGTTCCCTGAAGCTAAGCTTCGTAACGCTACGCAGCAACACGTGCTCTATAAACCAATCCAAACTGGATAAGTAACCCGCTGATATCACCTCCAACTGCGTTTATACATTTACGTGTACTTGTAAGAGAAAATAAGTTGGAAGGATAGAAAGAAGGGCTTCCATCTAGTTTTCAGAGCATATCCCAAGAAATTTATGTCTGAAAGGAAACAGATATTCGCAAAGTGCATTCACTAGACTCCTTGAGGATGGACACAGGTCATTTCATCGAGATTTCCAAATCCTTCAAAATATTAAACATACAAACGACAGAAAATATACTACGATTTGCTGAAGCGATTGCAATCAAGCGTTTCAAATTTATTTTATTCATTTATTATTTTATTTTTGATTTACAGCTTGATTCCACACTGTATTTTTGGTACAAGTATGGAATTTTCAGCATGGATATCGGTAGCTCGAATTTTGCAGGCCGACCATAGATATCAGGTCTTATTCATATATAAAGAGACTATAATCAATCTTTTTGGCTATTTCATCCTTAAAATCAGCTGTACAATCCCATTTACACACATAACTTTACATAGATACGTTTCTTATTTTATTCCACATATTAATGAAGGTGATTAAAGGTGATAATAATTTTTAAATTAATATGGAAGTTCAAGGTTGTGAACACAGATTAAAGGCGGCTTAGAAACAAAATTATGCAGGATTAGAAAATAGTTTTTTATTAACAAATGCAGGTATGAATGGAATGAGCATCGGGGCAGACTATAACAATGGTATGTTAAATCTGAAAATGAAAAAAGGAAAAAACGAAAGAGATGAAAAGCCTAGACCTAAGGAGGTAACCCGAACTAGATCCATGGTAAGTGTTGTACAGATTGGACATTTTCATTTTGACCATATAACTCCAGCTTCTCAATGCATATGGTGAGGGCTTGTACAGTACAACGAAGTCGGAAACATGCTGCCATTAGTAGATGTTTGTTCACCTTGTAAATGACTCTTAATGACATATGAATGAGTTAGTTGAAATGCTATCTCAGGCGTTGACGAGATGTGTTCAATTATAGCAATTCTGATTTATAACCAGCACCTCCTCTTTGCAGACATTTTGGGTAGTAATACTGCTGTCCCCCCTTGAATAGGAGACAAATAAACACTTTCTTTTTTCAACAGTTGGACAAACTATAACCTTTTGAGTTGCTATGTAAACCTTCAAACTAACACTGTTTATTAGCTAATTCTGATTTTCTATCTTCCCTTGTCCTCCTCGCCCCCTCCTTTTCTATTTTCAAAGCATATAAATTGACGTTTGCTTAAACTAAAGCCATCTGTAGTGCTGTTTGTATTTCAGATTCGTTTATTTTATAAACTTTTCTCCACTACGACTATTCAAACATTGACGTATGTAATTGGCATGCTTTTCTATGACCATTTCAATTTCAGGTAGTCTACAACAGCTAATGAGAACCTGTGAGATCGAGTGATATCATTATTGCTTCGTAACAAACTGATAGAAACTGAAATGATTATCGCAAATGAAACAGTATTACTCTTCTGGATGACACTTCGAAGACAATTTATCGTTCATAATCATATTAATTTTGATTATAAACAATATCGAAACACGTTCACTCATAGTCATCTTTCTTCTTTCTTGGAAAAAGGGTTAGAATTTACCATATTCCATGGGACAGACATCGGATCATTCTCATTGTATGCATTCCCTAATGTTTCTCTGAACTGTGATCTTCGTGCTTAGTTTTTCTCCAGTGGAATAAAGAGTGTAAATTCTTATTTCTGTGACTCTGTATGTATTTCTAGGTGTCTGTTTGACTGTTTTCAACATAGAACTTTGCACCGATGTGCAGCAGTTCAAGTCACCACACTCCATTTAGCACACCAAGCAAGAGAAGAAAGTAGAAGAAATGCACACTAGAGATAGTAAACAGATGTGTGAGACAAAGGAATAGTAATAACAAAGAACAATGTAATTTCAATATAATTGTTGGATGCGTCTGCACCAGCCATTGAAAACGATTTACAGCCATTTCACCTATAGTCTCCAGCCACTCGTGTTTACTATCCCGAGGACCCCAACCGCTCAGGAAGTCTACACCTCCCTACGTGACTGGCTGGCTGGCTGGCTTAAACTAACTGTTGTGCATTTCATTCACTGATGAGGCCGTGTTTTGGTTTGACCGCCACTATCTCTTTTCCAGCCTGACCCTATGTTAGCTAACATTGTCCGCCGAGGAAGGCGATCATTGGCTAGGGATGCATACGTAACACATGTCCTAATCATCTCAGTCGATATAATTTCACAGCCTCATCGATTGATTTCCCCTCGCTCCATACCTAGAACTCGACATAAGACTAACCTCAATGTTGCACACCTTATTTTACCACTTGACACGGGAGATAGAACGCAGGCACCTATGATCGAAGACAGCTAGCCAATCTTTTCATGTCTTCCTCTCTCAATGGCCAGGTCTCACAGCCATAAAGAAGAACGGAGCACACTGCTAAGCAGTACACCCGCCCTTTGCTAGATGTCTGTAGTTGAAGAGAAGCCATGAAATAGATTTCACACATTTTATACTGCAAATTTTTTCTCTTTTTGCATCGATAAAGACTGAAGTCACCTGAATGAAAAAGGCTATCAAGCCCAATAAGCTACTAGACATGGAAGATCAGAGTAAAATAAGGCTGTGTGTGCGCGAACTAAGTCGCTCCTTCCATCATAGAGGATAAATGCAAACAACTTAGTGATCGCTGCCTGTTTAAAACCTAAAGAACTGAAACAAACTATTCTAGATATAGAATTTAATTGGTGTATGAAGACTAGTAGTGGAATCCAGGATAAGAATTTCGCCCTACTTGGGACTCATCATCTGAATGTACCTGCATTCCTCAGTGAGTGATGACGTTCCCACAAGAAGCCGACATGTCAACCTGAGACCGAGCACTTCGGTCCAACCAATCGACGGGAAAATCTAAAACTAAATATAAATATTCTAGACATAGTTCAATGTAAAATCAAACATTACTAACAGGTCGCCAAGCCAGAAATAAAAAGCTGGTAATGGGGAAAGGTTGTGCATGAGGCTACCAACTCTATCCTGTAAAATAAACCTGCTACAGAAACTCAAGCCTTTAACTTGAAGCCGTATGTTCCCCAGGAATATGAAGGAATAAAAAAGTATAAAATCACTAACCAAAAGATAAATTCTTTATAAGTAGATGATTCATAGAAGATGCCTAGACAGCATTAGAAAGGTGAAATATAAACTATAACTATTGTGTGATACAGTCATTCTCAAGGACAAGTTACCACAATATCAGCATGGAAATAGGGGGTTTAACCTTTAACGACTTTGTCGAATGTAAAATCTATAAAAACCGATAAACCTTAGTCTCAAAATGACATATAACGCATATTTTTGAGTTCATATAAATCCCAAGAGTTACGCAGAGAATTTTCACGCGATATCAGAAATGCAATCGAAAGAGGCCTCATAAAAAACATGTGGCTCTAGGCTGTACATTGAGAACAGTTTATGACTTTGTCATTTCACTCAACATGAAATGTATATATTGAATTTGAAGCTGTGAAACAGTCTAGATGTAATAATAATGATTTCACTTTATTCCAAACGTCAGTGAAGGACATGAAAAGGCTAGGTTTCTTTGATCATAGGTGCCTGCGTTCTATCTCCCGAGTCAAGTGGTATAATAGAGTGAACAGTATTGAGGTTAGGCGTCGAGTGCCAGGTAAAGAGGGGAAATCAATCGACGAGGCTCTGAAGTTACATCTGTTGAGGTGGTTAGGACATATGTTACGTATGCATGGTCATCGCCTTCCTCGACGGGCAATGTCAGCTGACTGACATGGGACCAGGCAGGAAAATAGCTAGGGCGGTCAAACCAAAACAGGACATGAGTCAACGAAATCCACAAAAGTTAGTTTAAGCCAGCCAATCACGAAGGGAGGTGTAGACTTCCTGGTTAGGGTCCTCGGGACAGTAAACACCGATGGCTGGAGACAATCGGTGATATGGCTCAAAATTGTTCTCAATGTCTGGTGCAGATTCATCCACTCCTTTTGACTTATAATTTCCAATGAAACTATATTGTTCTTCGTTATTACTATTCCTTTTGTCTCATATCCCTGTCTACTGTCTCTATTTTGCATTTCTTGTACTTTCTTCTCTTGCTTTGTGTGTTGCATGGAGTGTGGCGACTTGAACTGCTGCACATCAGTGCAAAGTTCTGTGTTAAAAGCAGACAGACAGACAGACATAAGCAGTACGTATGATACAGCATTCGGTAGAGTACTGCATCTAATTTAATGAACAACAATAACAGGAAAAATACATTACAGGGTACACTTTACCAAAACCGATAACATGAATAACTTCTGGAAATAGCAGAGTGGATATTATAGAGTGGAAATGTACAAATTTAAAACGATAAGAATAATAACTTTCAATAGTTGGTTTGTAAGGATTAAATTTGTTTTTACGAATTTGACCACGGGTTGATATAAGTTAGTAAACCATTGAAAACCAGCTGGAAGTACTGAACAGCTGTTTCATCCTAGTTTGGGGGTCATCGTCAGTACGCACCCACTGGCAGGGTTCGAATCCAGGACCTTTCGGTTACAAGGGTAAAATGGTTCTCTAACTGATATCAATCCGTGATCAACTCGTAAGGATAACAATATTAGTATTGCTAATACAAAATTAGAAGATAATGGGGATAGTGTCACCATTGAATTACAAATATGGGAAATAAATGAGCCACCTTTTATGTGAATACACAGTAAGTTGTAGGCTTCACGCTTAACACATCCTGTATCAAATGGAACGCAGGCGGGTCAAATAGAGTATCGTTGAGTTTTTTTATTTGGTCGTGTGCGCTAGTATATGATCTCTTATAATGACTTCAAGTTCTATCTAACGAGATCGAAGTAGCGAGTGGTGAATGGACAAGGTGTTGAGAGACAGACAGTACGGATTTATTTTTTCTTACGAGTTTGTCTACAGGTTGATATCAGTTAGAGAACCATTGGAAACTAGCAAGGAGTACTGGACAGCTGTTTCATCCCAGTTTGGGAATAATCGGCAGTACACACCCCCTACCAGGCTTCAAACCCAGGACCTTCCGGTTACAAGGCAAGCTCGTATACCATTAAGCCACTTGGAACCGATTCAATGACCAGCCCATGAATTCTATCTTCTACCAATTCGTGATTTAACGCGAACACCAAATGAATGGTACACAGGTTTGCCTTTTAACCGGGAGGTCCTGGGTTCGAACCCTGGTAGTGGGTGCGTACTGATGATGGTTCCCAAACTAGGATGAAACAGCTTTCCAGTACTCCAGTTGTGATTTTCACTGCTTCTCAAACTGATATCAATCCGTGGTCAAAATCGTAAACAAAAATTTAGTCCTTACAAACTAACTGTTGAAAATATGAATTTAGACCATTTATGACATGAGTTAAGATATCCGTCGGCTGTGATAGTAAAGAGCTAAGTGACACACCACTTACTCTACTGACAACCTTTAATGCTCTGTGCAATATGATATAGTCCTTTTTGATTATTCCTTGAAGAACTAAGGAGAAGCAATAAAAAATAGTAGATGTGTTGCAAGAGTTAACAAACTATAAAAGTAAGGGTTAAGTAATTCTAGATTGTCTTAACTTCTTGGTATAGTAGGTTGGATGAAACATTCTCTTAGAAATCGACAAGAAATGGGGTGACCAAGACATGTCAGAGAATAGAACTTTTCCAAGATATTTTATACCTGAGTTATTCTCTATATCAGTGCCCTCTAAGTTACAAGTTTCATGTGAACTAATGAGTTCATTATGACCATGTTTATTCCTCCAGGTTAAATTAACTTTCTGACATTTAGGAGGATTTATCTGATGTAAGACAATTAAAAGCTTAGACCATTGGTGAGTATCAGACAGATAGCTGTTTTCAATTTGGAACAGTCAGCTCGAAAATTGATTGGCAACAAGACATTAAGGTCGTCAGCATATTTAACCAGGTTGATTTCTACTGAAGAAGACAAGTCATGCAGAAAGAACCATAGAAGAACGTTCTTACACGTTCTTATATGCAGACCATAAAAATGTATTTCTAGATATCTTCATACCATGAAGTTCTTTACACAATTTTAATGTTATAATAAAATATGATAGATAAACCTACTGTCATTCCAGTCAGCCGTATTTCTGATTTCACTTGATAACGACCAACAGCGTTAGCAGGCTCAGTCATAACTAAATATTCAGAAAACTAAAGGGGTGAAAATAACAGTTAACAAAAATGAATTAAAATCCAGTAAAAATTATATTCTTATGCTATAACAACTCAAACTGTTTATAGTTTGTAGTGGTAGTAAACTACTTAGACTCGTTGGTTGGTTACTTCACTTATTCAGGAAATCTTCAAAAACACAGATAAAAAATGAATTTCTTTTAAATGTGTTACTCAACGACTACGCGCAGTTTAATAAATCTGTCAATGAATCATACCTAATCCATGAAAGTAGATACAACCACCTTAGTGTCAAAGCATCATTAGGTAAATCGAGTGAATACTTGTGATACACTAGTTGAGAGTTCAGTGGTGGTAAGCAAATGGTGAATGATATTTGTGTAGATGTTGGCATGCCTAATGAATCCTTTATATGTATCCCAGCAAATGTTATGATTCTTAACTCAAATAGTGAAAATAATGACTGCTTCTCATGCTTTAACACGAATGATGTCCTCAAGTGTCTTCAATCTCTCAAACCTACTCAGTCCCTTGGTCCTGATGGAGTTCCTGCTGTTATCCGTAAGAAGTGTGCTGACATCTTGTGTTCCCCATTAACTGACATTTTCAACGAATAGTTTTCCAAAAGTATTATACCTGACTCATGGAAAAATATCAAGATTGTTCCAGTGCCTAAATCAACAAGTGGACCTACTGTTAAGTTTAGACCGATTGCTATTACCTCACCTTTTTTGAAAGCTATGGTAAGACTTATTTTACTTAATCTCGAACCCTCTTTATAGCCTTTCAACGACCCCGGCCAGTTTGCTGATAAACACAGTAGGTGTACGTTAGATGCCGCTGTTGTCCTACATCATAGTATAGTTTCTAGTCTAGATAAAGGAGCTAAATACGTTCGGTGTGCCTTCCTTGATTACACATCTGCATTTGACTCTGTTCCCAGGTCTCTCTTGCTAAGTAAGCTTTCTGCAACACAGGCTGAGAGCTGGACAAATAAGTGGCTGCATTCCTATTTCTCTGATAGGAAGCAGTGCACCATCTACAATGGAAAGTCCTCCACTACCTCACTCACTTTAGCTAGTGTTCCTCAAGGTACTGTTCTTTCTCCTTTTCTGTTTCCTTTTTTCTTACGTGACTTGCCGTATTCTGATGTAGCCACTTTTGTTAAGTATGCTGATGACCACTCTGCTTCTATGCCTGTCAACTCTCAGTCAGATTGTTCCAAATTAAATAACTTTCTGTCGGAAATTAGTCAGTGGTACTCTTCAAACGGTCTTAAGCTGAATCCGTCTAAATGTCAGGTAGTCAATTTCACTTTCAGACATAAACGTGACCTACAGCAACTAGTTAGCTCACATAGCCCCACTATCATTGACGGCACAGAGGTTGAAATTACATCTAATGTCAAGTACCGTGGGCTGAGTTTTTCCACCGATCTTTCCTGGTCTTCCCACATCTTGCTAGTTACTAGAAAGATGTTTCGCTTAACGTTCTACGTTAGGAAATTTAGGCAATCTTGCATAAAGCAGTCTTTGCTTTCTCAGTTTGTAAACTCTTGTATTCTACCCATCCTCCTTTACTGCTCCCCATTAGTCTTTCCTGGACTACTTAAGAAAGACTTTGCTTCGCTGAGAAGGGCAGGCACTAAAAGCCGTTAGTAGGGCAAGTGGGATATCGTTAAACCAACTGGTTAACACTATTGTGGATAGACATATTATGTCATGTAAGAAACTAGCGAATACAATATTGTCAGACCCCGAGAATCCTCTCTATACTCAGTTGTCTGCTTGCATTTCATCTGGTAGAACTAGAAGCAGCAGCTATAGGAGGCTATATGCTATGACTACCAAGTGCAAAAACTCCACAATACCATATCTGGCACAGCTGTTATGTAAGGAGAAATCCGTTAGGTATGACACGATAAACTTACTGAGGCAATCTAACAAATAGTTCCCATTAGTTGTTTTTGTTTTCCTTTCCTCGTTACTATTACACTGTTGTTCTCATCTTTCTATCACACATCAACTTTATATTTCATATCCTGTGGTGCATTATTTGAAATGTAAACTCTACGCTGTTTGTTTTTTTATTTTTATTTATCTATTTTTTTGGCGTTGGTTTTTATTTATCTATTTATTTACTGATTTTAAAAATCTTATATAATTTATGAGGTAATTAGATGCAATATATTGTAGTTCACACTGAAAATTCTATACCTGTACCACAACTACTGTTTGGAATAAAGCTGTTATTATTATTATTAATATAACCAACAGCGCCAACCAGAATATGACACAAAATGCTTGATTACTTCTAGCCAAATGACGTACTGTACACGAGCGCACTTCACTCTAATGTGTGTTTGCAAAACACCGCTGCTGGAGGTGAAGGATTAGTGAAAATTCCATACACACTACAGTTGTCGACTTGAAAATAAAAATTGGCACGTTAGGAAATGGATATATAGATTGAGCTGTGCGCTGAAATATTTCTATTGATAGAATGGCTCTAAATAACAAACCAATCATCATTTTGGGTATAATTAATTTCCCAAGAGAGTATCTGCGTAAAAATCATTTTGCAGAATCCGATCAATTTGATGACAGCCTATCTAATATGGGAAAATCAAACGTAGAGTACTAAAGATAAGTCGTTTCTAGAGATCTTGAGCCTTTGTCAATTAAAATATACCAGACCATCCATCGAGATAATATTCGTTTGAGAACATTTAAATGATTGGTCTAGAAAGTGGCATCGACAGGATGCCGACGTATGAAAGCCTCTTAGTTGAGGTTGACAGTGACAAGACACGTTAGTTATTAAGATAAGTGTATGTAAATAACGAAAATTCTATACCATTCTATCTCATGATCGTCTTTGTTTTCCTCATAATCATCTACGACTGATGTGATATCAGTATTACCCCCATATTCCTGACTTCCTTTTTGATGAGTTATTTAAAATATGGAAAATTAGCTTGATGTCTTTGTCAACCTCATTCAACAGCTACATGATAATGCCACGTGTCAAGTGATTCACAACGGAAAAATCAGCAAGGCGTTCGAAGTACATATAGGAGTAAGACAAGCTGGCTGTCTGCATATTATCACCGACGATGATATTCTTAATTGTGGTGGACTGGATTATGCGTCAGACTGTTGGGGATGAGGCGTCAGGAATATCCTGGACCACCTAGAAGATCTGGATTTCTCAGATAATATATGTCCAATGTCACACAAACTCGAAGACTTGCAGGCGAAAAACCAACAAACTGGCTGAAGAAGCAGGCAACGAAGACAGGACTCCAAGTGAACACAGAGAAGATGGAGGTGATGAAGATGACCAATCAACAGAGACAGTATCAACAACCAGCACCAATCACTATCAACGGGAATTGGAAAGGGAAGATACACCTTCATCAAACACCTTCACGTGAAACCAGTTTGAAAATTTTCCACTGTCACTCAGCATAAGAAATACGATTCGGCTTTTCAACATCAATGTGAAGTCGGTTCTTCTATACAGGTTAGAAACTTGACAAGCGCATCACAAAAAAAGTTTTCCAACAGGTTGCAGACTTTCATCAACAGCTGCCTTCACTGGATTCATACTGTAGATCAAATGGCCAACCAGAAAGAAAAAGTAACAAGAAATTCTGGCTGGGAACAAACCAACAGGCGAGAGCAGGTCACTGAAAAAAGCATGTAGGAGTAAATGGAAATGAATCGGACATACGTGGAGGAGGCCGTGGAATAACATCGCACTCCAGGCCCTCAAGTGGAATGATAATGGCAAGCGACAAGTGGATCGTCAGTGCTAGGGTGACATGGAGGAGGTAGTATGAAGAAGAGATGAGAGAGTTCAGTCAGTCGTGTATCCAGTTGAAGAGGACGGCAGAAAACAGAAAAAAGTGGAGATGTGTTGTTGAAGCCCTGTGTTGTACTCGGAATGCAAGGGAATAATAATAATAAGTGAACTACACTTTATGTTACACGTGAGGGACAATGAAGAATTAAATCGCAATAAAAAAGGCTACTTATAAAATTTGCTAAAATTACTGGACAATGTATATGTAACCACAACTGATGTAAATCTTCGCTTACACAAACAGAAAAGATAAATATAATTCAACAACCATGTGTTGAAGTTTTTGCCTTGGGATACCAAGTCGAACCTCAGTAGATGAGGCAGGATTCACACTCGACTGTCAAGAGCAACTTGTTGCGGCATCACCAAGTATCGATCGTTTGATGACGGATTGACATTAGTCGGAGAACCATTGAAAATCAGGGAGTACTGGACAGATCTGTCCTCCTATTTTTTTCTAAACTCCTTACCCTCTCAGTCAGAAAGCCTTGGGTTTGATCCCGGGTGAAGTCACAGGTACATACTGCTGAAGAGGAAAAAGCTTCCCGCCGGTAATCCCCGGTTTACAGTGACCCTCCACATGAAATCCATTCATGACCTAATTCGAAATTAATCAAATCTGTGGTGGTAACCAAAAGGAACAGAATCAAATTTTTTATAATATGATTATCTAATCAGAAATTAGTCTGTTAATTATTATCAATTACACAAAGACATACAAAAATATCTTACAAGAAATAAATATCTATCTAAAAGTCTTCTGTGTATTGAACGTCGTGGTAATTTCTTTGCTGGCCCCTCCAGATGCAATAATGGAATTTGAATATACTTCACCCGGAGACCATCTAATTTACCCAATGCTTCACGAGCTTTCAGCATTTTTTCCTATTTAAAAGAAAAGTTGGATAAAACGATTAAAACTTGATGGATGACAACAAAATAAATTATCAAAAATAGTGGATAGAATATAGTTTTCAAGTCACTACTCATTATTTAATCTAAGAAATGATAAAATTATCCATGCTATTTTTAACTCATGGAAAATTCCCATTGTAACATGTAGAAAATCAAAACAAGTGATTCAGCGAAGAGACTCTTTTCAACGAATTTATCATCAAGCTGTACAATCGTATATATAAATATGGTCTTTGAGAAGTTATATCCGGCGAGGTAATTGAATCATAGGTGTGAATACATAAAATAATAATAGTACGAAATGCAATTAAAATAAAATGTTTGTGATTATAATCATAGTTAAATGTCAAATGGCAAAACAATTCATGTCATATATGTAGAATAATTCATAGGATGCATAGAACTTGAAAAAGCATATGCAATTATAGGATTAGTAGACAAATCGAATAAAATAAAAACATTACGTAATATTGCTTGAAATTTCATAGCATAGAATTTAACGAGTTGATCACGGATTGATATCAGTTAGAGAACCATTGAAAACCAGGGAGTACTGGACAGCTGCTGTTTCATCCTAGTTTGGGAATCATCGGCAGTACGCACCCACTGGGTTTCGAACCCAGGACCTTCCGGTTATAAGGCAAGCTCGTATACCATTCAGCCACTGGGACCCGATTCAATGGCTCGTGAATTCTAACTTCTACCAATTCGTGATTTAGCGCGACCCCAACCATTGTCGTTGGTGGGACATCCATCCACACACGTGACATCTAATTGGACCTCACTGGTCACGACTTCTCACTAGAACTCAGGAAACTCCAACCTGTAGCAAGTCACTAGCGAGCATCAGATTAACTTTCTATAGTTTTTGGTTTGTAAGGATTAGAATTGATTTAGAATGACAAGTGGAACAAGTGAAATAACACCGGAAACAGTTCAAAGTGAGAGTAGTTATAGTAACAATTGACGTAATGCAGGAAGAGTATACAAAATGAATAGATAAAATGAAAAAATGAAAAATTGGAAGAGCTAAAATATGATTAGGGATTACCATATTTTAGCATAGAGTGATTGAGACCATGAAAGTTGGAGGGGTTGAATGAACGTTTTCTGTACACAAAGATCTGGCTTTCCTGTTTCGATAGCCAAAGCTTCAGCAATACAAATGAGTCGGGTAGGTAGGGATTTGGGTAAATTACTTTTTGCCTCGTAGATGTCTTTAAAGGCGGAGGTTATGGAGATAGGGTGATCATTATCGACCAGATGTTGAATGGTCGCGCTTCTTATTGCTCCACGTCCACCCCTTCGTAACCATGCAGGATAGTGTTCTTGCACCCTCTTGGACAAAACTTGGGTTGAACGATCGATATACCTAGTTGCACACAAGCAGGTGAATTGATAAACACACATACAGTTGGTCAACAGCGGGATCTTGTCTTTCAGGTCGATTGGTTAAGGCTATTCTGAAAGATGCAGCAAAGAATGTTCTTTTCAGGAACTGTGAGACCCTTCTTTTGATGATATCGCAACCTAATTCACCTTTGATCTCCAAGTTCATGTACAGTATTTTCTTGGGTGCAGATGATAAGTAATGTTTCATAGGATTTGAATGTATATTTTTGCCTATAAAACGTGGTGGAAATCCACTTTCTACTAGGATTTTCCTCAAAAGATTTAACTCATCTTCCACAGTATCAGGGCTACATATACGCCAAATGCGAGTGGAAAGCGACTGGACCAGGTTTCGTTTTCAACCAATGGGTATCGACGAAATCATATTCAGAGGCTGTATAGTCGTATTTATATTTTCCAAAAATGTATAGCAGTTTATTATTGAGTAATAGGAGGTGACATAATTGATATAATTACTCGGACGTGGCTTTAGAAGTAAAAATATAAGAGTTGTAAACCACGTGGTACTCAACGGCACAAAGTTAGAAATTTGATTAGGTTAGAAGCTAGCTTTAGTGGCCGCACAAAGCGCCCGACCGAAAGCTGCTACCTTGACGTGGTGGTCGGGCTTGAACACCGCAATGATCTATTCAAGCTATACTGGCTGAGACTTATGTCTCTTGAGGTCTACCATGCCAGGCAGGTTGTTTGGATAGCGGTTAAACAAAAAGCAGCTACCCAATCCAACATCATGTCCAATACAAAATCACAAAATTTCATGCCGGATCGGCCGTGGCCCGGATTAACAACGACCGCGCTTCCTGCTGCCGTGTCACAGGGCAGGAGTGATAAATCTGCTACTGAGACACACCAAACAAAAAAGAACGAACAAAAACAGGCCGCGTGTGACCGGCCTCAAGCAGTTGTCCCCTGGGCTCTGCGGTCACGCAACCAACTTCCACGGTGTGGGCAGCCGGGAAGTAACAATCGCCCTCACAATCCGAAATGCACACGAAACCTCTCTATTACTCACTCATCTTTGTCTTCATCTTCATCTCTATCATCTTGCCTTCCTTCCACTGATGCAACTCCTCGACTTGATAGCTCTCCACTTCCTCTCCACTCTGCGTCCACTAAAAACGATGGAAGCCAAAAAACCACCACCGACAGCCTCTTAAAGCCGCGCCACCAATTTCATATAGGAGCTCTTAATGTTAGGACACTTTGCCAAATAGGACAACAAGCATCACTAGCCAAGACCCTGGCATCACGAGCCATTGATGTATGCTGTGTTTCAGAAACACGCATACAAGACCCAAGTGTGGTTATTCACCTAACCCCACCTGGCCAACAGGTTGAATCTGCAAAATTCACCTTGAGGGTGTCAGGAGATGCCACAGCTAGTTCACGAGGATTAGCTGGCGTAGGGATAGCTTTGAGTACTAGGGCAGAAAAGACATTGCTTGACTGGATCCCGGTAGATAGCCGAATGTGTGCTGTCCGCCTGAACGGATCAGTAAGAAGGAGGAAGGACTGCACTACTCGCCGATGCCTTTTCGTAATCTCCGCCTACGCCCCCACTGACTGCAGTTCAGATGAAACGAAGGATGAGTTCTACCAAAAGCTGTCTAGTTTGGTGGAAAGGCTAAACGCTCAGACATAGTCGTTCTAGCTGGTGACTTTAACGCTCAAGTAGGGAAATTGTGTCAATCTGAGAAGGATGTCGGTGGCACCTATGGAGTTCCGTGCCAGCGAACCGACAACGGTGACCGTCTCCTACAGTTCTGCTCTGATAATCATTTGTTTCTTGTAAGCACTAACTTCAAACACAAGGAGAGACACTGTTTGACTTGGAGACCCCCTTCATCAAACCAACGCTGGACACAAATAGACCACATAGCAATAAGCTATCGTTGGCGTGGGTCGGTAGGAGATTGTCGCTCCTTCTGGAACACGTGCGTAGATACCGACCATGCACTGGTCCGCGCTCGGGTGTGCTTACGACTGAACGGACGTAGGAAACAGCTGGCGGTAAAACCATCACGTCCCCAGCTCGATCAGGAAACTAAATCCGTATTTGAGGAAGAACTAGCTAAACACATATCTGTGTTCGACAGCTGTGCTCACCCTGAAGAAGCTTGGAAAAATATCCAGGCAGCCATAGATACAGCTGTAAAAGCTGTGAATAAGGTAAACCCAAAGGTGAGTAAAAACCACTGGATCTCCACCGCCTCATCCGAACTGATAGATGCTAGAAGACTTATTCCGGCGAGCTCCGAATTCAATGAGGAGCGAAAGCTGCACAAGAGGAAACTTACGAAAAGTCTCCGCAAGGACCGTGAACAGTGGTGGGCGACAAAAGCCAAAGAGATGGAGAAAGCTTCGAGGATAGGCAACACCAGGCAACTCTTTAGACTCATCAGGGAAACGGGTGGGAGAAGACAAATCATTAGTGAGACAATCTCGGAAAAAAATGGCACTATAATTAGCTCCCAGGATAGACGACTGGATCGTTGGAAAGAGCATTATGAGGAGCAGTTTAATTTGCCCACAGCCACGCTCAACCTTCCGAGCATCCAACACCTCCCTGAATGGGATATAGACACAGGTCCTCCGTCACTAACTGAGGTTACTAAAGCTGTCACCAATCTGAAACTAGGCAAAGCAGCGGGACCTGATGGAATGACTCCAGAGGTATTTAAGTACGGTGGAGACAGCTTACTGTCCGGATTAACTGAGGTACTAGGCAGCGTCTGGGAATCAGAAGAAGTCCCATCGGGTTGGTGTAAGTCACTGATTATCCCCATATACAAGAAGGGAGACAAGTCTTCCTGTGATAATCACAGAGGGATTAGCTTGACTAATATAGTATCTAAAGTCTTAGGCTCAATAATCATGCGTAGACTGAGTGGTGCTCGGGAAGCACAAACACGAGAGAGCCAGGCAGGCTTTAGACCAGGAAGAGGGTGTATTGATCATATCTTCACCCTCCGACAGATTCTAGAACATAGGCATTCCTACCGGCGTCCAACAGTCATTATATTTCTTGACCTAAAGGCAGCATTCGACTCTGTCGATCGGAAGTTCTCTGGAGATGCTTGGCTGTAAAGGGAATTCCGAGAAAATATATTGCACTGATTAAGGCACTCTACTCGTACTCATACAGCCAGGTGAGGGCTTACGGCGAGCTGTCATCTGAACTGATGACGACCAGTGGTGTCCGTCAAGGATGCCCATTATCTCCTTTTCTATTCAACTTCATCATAGATGTGTTAATGGACTTAACCCTAGGTGACTTCAGCGACTCAGGGATTGACTTGCTACCGGGGAATAATCTCGTTGACTTGGAATATGCAGACGATATAGTCCTTCTAGGCGAAGACGCTGACGAAATGCAGAGTCTTCTAAACACCTTGAGCCGCAATCTACGAATGTTTGGCATGCGATTCGCTCCCGCCAAATGCAAGATGATGTTACAGGACTGGACTACATCGACGCCTAGTTTAAAAATAGGAAGTGAAGTGGTAGAGCACGTTGACCGCTTCACTTATTTGGGAAGTACCATCAGCCCCAACGGGCTGATCTCTGACGAAATCTCAGCACGAATACAAGGGGCTCGTTTCGCATTTGTTAGTTTACGCCGACTCTGGCGTAGACGAGATGTTCGACTATCGACCAAAGGGCGGGTGTACTGCTCATCAGTCCGCTCCGTCCTCCTTTATGGTTGTGAGACCTGGCCACTGAGAGTGGAAGACATGAAAAGACTAGCTGTCTTTGATCATAGGTGCCTGCGTTCTATTTCCCGTGTAAAGTGGCATAATAAGGTGAGCAACATGGAGGTTAGGCGTAGAGTTCTAGGTAAACAGGGGAAATCAATCGACGAAGTCGTGAAGCTACAAAGACTGAGATGGTTAGGACATGTGTTACGTATGCCAAGCCATCGCCTCCCTCGACGAGCAATGTTAGCGGATATAGGGTCAGGCTGGAAAAAAGCTAGCGGCGGTCAAACAAAAACTTGGCATCAGTCAATGAAATCCACAACAGTTGGTCTAAGCCACGTAGGAAGGTGTAGACTTCCAGGCTGGGGTCCTCGGGACGGTAAAAATCTATGGTTGGAAACAATTGGTGACATGGCTCAAAATCGTTCTCAGTGGCGCAGATGCATCCACTCCCTGTGACTTATGATCTTCAATGAAACTGTTTTGTATTTCTTTATTACTCCTTTGTCTCACACCTCTGCTCACTGTTTCTATTATGCTTTTCTTGTACTTTCTTCTCTTGCTTCGCGTGCTACACGGAATGTGGCGACTTGAACTTCCGCACATTTGTGCAAAGTTCTATGTCGAAAACAGACAGACAGACAGACAGAGACACTTTTCAAGCGCACCTTTGAACATTATACGGCATGGTTAGCAAAAGGATAATGCACAACAATTACTAGCTCAACTCTCATGCACTTGGTGAACTCAAGCCGCGTAGCTTCACCAGAGTCGTCTTTCAAGATCATCTACAAGGTGAGGCCAAATGATACAAAGGGCATCTGGTTTAGGCTTTTGTGTATGGCGAAGGCCTTGACGATTCGTCATTACAATCCCGAACTCTGTATACCTTAGTCTTAACATTTTAACTATTCGTTCCTTGTAAAAACAAATTTTTTAAGTTTTAAATTTAACTTTTAGTTTGCTTTTGCTTCAATAATTAATTCACTATTATCCCTTTCAGATGTTCCTGTTGCACATTTTCACACCCTCTTTACACTTGTTAAACTGAAACTCAACTACTTTATTCTCACTCAATAGCAATTTTAACCCTATCAAATTTCTAACTTTGTGCCGTTGAGTACCAAGTAATTTACAACATTTATACTTTTACTTCTAAAGCCACTTCCGAGTAATTATATCAATTGTGTCACCCCCTATTACTCAATAATAGATTACTATACGTTTTCGGCAAATATAAATACGACTATACAGCCTGTGAAGATGACTTCGTCGACAAAGAAAGTTTTCTTCGCTGAATTTGTCTTTTATTTCCTCCATGACTCAGTGGGTATTTTCGGTGGAAAAATTATCTATAGTTTGGTTTGTAAGGGTTAGTTTTGTTTTTCGAGTTGATCACGGATTGATATCAGTTAGACAACCACTGAAAACCAGCAATGGACAGCTATTTCATCTTAGTTTGGGAATCATTGGCAGTACGCACTCACTGCCGGGGTTCGAACCCAGAACCTTCCGGTTACAAGGCAACCTCGTATACCATTCAGCCATTGAGACCCAATTCAATGGTTCGAACCCCAGTCAATGCGTACAGCCGATGATTCCAAAACTAGGATGAAACAGATGTCCAGTATTTCCAGATGGTTTTCAATGGTTCTCTAACTGATATCGATCCGTGATCAACTTGTAAAAAAATAAAGCTATCGTTTCTCAAAATAATGTGTCATTCAAGAGTGATTAAAGATGAATAAGATTACATCATGAAGGCTAATGAACACAGGTACATATATGAAGATTAAGAAACATATAGATACTTCGATGAAAATTAAGAAATTTAAGGTTGGTTTAATACATGAAATTAAGATATTATCGGGTGAATACGGAAAACTTGATTTAATGCATAAGAATAATTATTCCAACAAGAACAGGTATCATTAAGTTACCTAGGTCAGGTTGTCTTATAAAATCGATAATTGAACTATGTAACTGACAAAAGAAATATATGAAAACAGCTTCAGGTTGGTCAGAATTGGTTTGTTTGAAGTGATTTTGGAGTTTTTTCTGCATGGAGACTTTACCACTGTTCATACGCAGGCTTTTCTAACCTTTCTGCCTTACCGTAGTGATGGGACAGTATATTTCGCATGCTTGTTATCTCATGCAAACACCTTACTGGTGTTGCACCCCTGTTCGCCAGCATTACAATTTCGTCTTCAGATCCCCAACATAACGCAGATGAATAACGCTATGATGGTCATTTATTTTAGTCCAACCTTTGTTCAAGGAAGTGTGTCGGTGGATCAGTGGTAGAGTGCTTGCCAACCATGCATGTGGTGTATGTTTCGATCAAACGCTGGCGCACACCTTTATCTCCCTTAGCCAGTTGTCAGCCTGGCAAAGAAGGAAGATTGGGCGTGAGGTTGGCCACCTCACTCTGTAAAACAAGCGCCACTTCTAGTGAGGCCCCAAAGCTCAAGCTTGAAGTCCACTCGGAATGCATAGGAGCCAATTCGAAAATAATAATAAATACGTGGTAAAAATTCGCATTAGGACATATAGAAAATCAAAATAAGGAATGCAACGAAGAAACTCTTCTCAACAGATTTATTATCAAACTGTACGATCGTATGAGTTTTTTTAAGAAATTATATCCAGTGAGGAGATTGAAACAAAGGCGTAAATACATAAAATAATAACAGTATGACATGCAACTATATAGATGTACGACTGTACAGCTTGATCATAAGTTCTTTGCATAGAGTCTCTTCTTTAAATCACTTGTTTTGACTTTATATAATAAAAAATAAAAAAATTCTCCAGGCTATATTTCAAGGATGACAGGACTTACAAGAACCTTCTTTCTAGTCAGTGTAGCCCGTTAGATAGTTGTTATGTGTAATCCCAACCGTCACGTAAATTTAACAGTCAGTAGTTAGTTCAGTTACGTAGATACTTAAGGGCACTTATTGTGGTAGAAGCTATAAGTTGAATGAATCAAACAGCCACTTATACTGGGAATTTTATCGACCGTGAATTGGTCCATTCTCTTATTAAAGTAGCATAAGAGTATCGAATACATTGAGTTTGCATGTACTCTAAGACTGATTACTTAAGTGATCCTCATACCTATCAGTAAATCAACTTTAACTATCCGTTAGGGTACATATATTCCATTCCAAGGAGCAGTTATCATAATCATTACAAAATGAAACCTTTACCTGTAAAATATGTAGAAGAATGCACTAATTAGTTTTTAAGAATTGGCGCGTTTATGTGTATAGTTACTTTCCCTTATTTCATCATTTGCTTTAGGCAATTCTGTAATCAGAATAAACATTTCTAGGCTCTCAAAATAATTACATTAGTTTTGAGCACCTTAAGATCAAGTTTGAATCTGCTGTAGTACACTAACTGACCTGCAAAATAACTTCTTGCTCTGAACGATCCAGCAGATCCTTGATAAACTTCCAAGCTTCTATAAAAATAAAATTAAGATGAAGTGAGGAAATAATAAAAGTTTTGAGGTACTTACTTGTAATATTTGCATATTCTGGATCATTCGGCAATAAAGCTCCTTTGAGTCCTTACTCAAATCATCAAAGATATTCTTTAATTAATGGAAACCTACTATATATAAGATCCTTGAAACGTGGCAATGCAGTACTGACACCATAAAACATCCCAGGAACATTCTGGATACGTTGTTCTTCATATTGAGATTTAGACTGAAATAAATTGTTGAAGTAAAATTTACAAATATTATTCCCTTAAAACCAACAGTTAACTAGGTTAGCAAACACTGATTATTAAATGTGGCGTGAGCAACAAAAGAAATAGACGTCGTATTTAACGTTTGCCGTAAAAATTAGCAATCGCAATACTATCAGTTATTGTCACAGTCAAAGGAACAAAAGTGGAGGTGAAGACCTGAAATTTTCAGTTCCCAAACTTTTATACTCAAGAAGAACAAATTACAGGATTTTTAATCAAGCTAGGAACTATAAACAATTAGCTAGACGTATTTTTCGACGGTTAAGACAGTATTTAGATGATAAGGTAGTGGGATTACATATTCTAATATACCAGGCCATGGACTGCATATTTGTGAAAGTTTTACACCTGCTCACCATATTGTGAAGAATTTAAAAGTTGAACTTAGGCAAAGTGTTTGGGCAAACATATCACAATTTCACTTTTATTCTACTTATGCGAAGCTCGACTTCAATAAGGAGAATTTTAGTGTCTTGATTCATTTCTGCTCTTGACATTGAACTCTTTTGTGTCAAGAGGTTGATAAGTAACTGAAAGACATGAATTTCAAATTTATTTCAAATGCATCTATGAGTTCTAAAATTCCCTTTATTGTAACTAAATGCCAGTATAAACAAAGTCAGTTCCACAATTTAGACCATTATTTCAAAAGATCTCAATAAAAGAAGTTAAAACTATATATAAACCTTGGCTTGGCATTTATATTAACATCTTAAGTTAATAGGAACTATGTGCGTCCCACCGATGGAAAGTAGGAACTAGACAAACGTTTCTAATACCTTAATGAGTATGAAAAAATTAGCTTTTAAAACTCCAAGGTTTTAATGAGTCGGGTTTCTTCTGAAGGGTCACATGTAACCCTTCCCTATCAACTTTGTGAACAAAAAAATACTCTCAACTAATTCAGAAACTAATCTACCACTAGATCAGTACATTCATAAGTAAAAATCTTAGTAAAATTCACTTACAACGATACCTTTGCATATATCTTGAAGTTCTTCATTGGTGGAGTAAAGCTCAGAGAAAGGTCGAAAATTCAGTGCATAGCGACAGAGGAAACTCTTATAAATGTTCAAAATTTGAGTCTCTTTATCACTAGTAAAAGCAGAGGGCAATACAATGCTTCCAATACTACAAGATTCAAAGCTCTTGGTTAGATGTTCATGAAGCTGAAATAGCGAAGGAATGTCTTTAAACATTCCTTTAATTATACTGTTGGATTTAAGAGATGGGACAGTGAGAACCTCATTATTTACGTCCTGAAATTTAACATTACGAAGATGTATTCAGCTAACCCGTAGAATTCTTATACATTCCAATAGTCGTTTGCCATATTGTACCATTTCATCAAAAACCGACTGGGCTATTCTTTTCTTCTTCTCCAGTGTATTCAACTCTTCTTGCACACTTGATGATAAGCCTCTGCCAGAGGAACCGAATCTCGATTTAACAGCCTCGTTTAGTAGACGTCTGATTCTGTCCCGCTGTGAATCCGGTATGTCTTGTATGGTAGAATCATTACGCAAGGAGCTCGTTATCAAACTTTTATTTCCATATGTTTCCAAACCATGCATCTTTTTCATAAGGTCACACAAATAATCCGGGTGTAAGATGTCCAACTTGATCGATGGGCATATATGGCCACCCGACATCAAAAAGCAAGTAATTCATAAATCCACAAGTTACATCTGTAGTAGCTTTTGGTCGACCTAAACAACCAGACGGCTACAGAAATTTATTCAAATTTCAATTTCCATGCTGCATAATTTCAAGACTGAATCTGTATCTTTTGCTTTATAAATGTAAGGGAAAATGCCTAGTTTCATCTTTCACAGCATAATTTCGATAAACTCTTGCTTCGTTTGTTTCAATATCCAATATCATTTTTACGAGCTAGTATAAACCCATTTGATTTCTTTGTACCCCCTTCTTGGTTGTGAGGTAAATATTTCTGCTCTTCAAGAAAATTAGTTCATCTCGCCACTCACTGTCATAGCTTTGGTTGGCTCCAAAAGAAGTGGTGCTGAGATTAATTACATGTTGTTTGTAGCGTACGGTGGGTTAAGACTTAGTTACTACTGTGAATGGAGTTGATCCTTTCACCAGTTAGTAAACCGGTGTCGTCGACAAAAGAAGAGATAATAATCACGGATATAATTAGTGTAGGTCGTGCAAACCAAAAGACAGAAAAAGAAATAAAGAAAACGTAAAAGCAGACAGCTAGTTGAATTTGAAGTTGATATATATATATATATATATATATATATATATATATATATATACGTACATAATATCAATAGTAATAGTAATAGGTGTAAGTGTAGTAGTTAGAGTAGTCAGGATAAAAAGATAGCAGGGAATGTAAAGGAGTGAAACGAAAAATTTATATGCCTACCCATTAATGATCTATGGGATTTTAAGAGGATAGGCCGTTTGGACGCAGTTCTTATGTCATTGCATGATTACCCAGCCTCCACCTAGAGTTGTTCACAGACGGTGCCGTAGCTACATCTGCTGGTAATGAGTTCCATGGACGGCAAACCAGCAGTGAAGAGAAGTGGGAGTGTATCCGAGTCCTTGTCCTCTGGTGAGCTGTCCTTCGGAGATTTCCACCGGGAAGCCTATAACTACTAAATGGTAGAAGATTTTTGTTCAGGTGATTCCGTTCATTTGTTATCTTATAGGCAGTAATCAAGTCCCCTCTAAACCGAAGGTAGCTAAGTTTTGAGAGGCCTAATATCTTTAGCAGCTAATCATGCACTTGTTTCGGACACTGATCACTCCTTTTATCGCTCGACTTTGGACTCTTCCCAAGAGGTTCGCGTCTCTTCTTAACGGTGGGGGTACATTGATATTATGCACTTCAGTGCGTCATGTGACATGTTTGTACAACCTTAGAGAGAGCTCAGGAGTGAGTGCACCTAACCGTCTGTGTGTAGAGCCTATGACCGCATATTCCCTCGCTACTTCCTCCATGTAATTTACACTTGTGTCTATTTTTCCGTTTGAACTAGACCTAAGTCGCTCTCCAACGCTTTGGGGACAGGCTTTCGTTGCACAGGGTGCAACTTGCATTCTGGAGCCTACAGGGGCGTAATTTCACCATTTCGAACTTTTTCAGGTTAAAAATCATACTATTGGCCACCGCCCAGTCTATCAGAATCTTCAGTCTGACTGCAGACTATCTGAGTCTTCAGAACACCTTATTGCTCCCCACATCTTTACGTTGGCGTATAGAAGAGTCTGGCAGCTAAGACAGCATGGTAGGCCATTGATGAAAATCAAAAACATCGGCGTCCCTAGAATGGAAACCTGCAACACCCCTGATGACGAGCCATGCCAAAATGATCGGACTCGCTTGACCTTAGTGCATAATTTCTTTTCACCTGGGTATTCCTCCAACCATGACAGAATCTGATCACCTACACTTGCATGACTTATTTCGTGTAGGAGAAGGCCACGGTGGGCTGTGTCAGATGCCTTCCCAAAGTCTAGGAAGACCATGTGGATCGAAATATTCATATCCTACCATGGTGTCCAATCGTCTCAAACTGGCACTCAGTTTGTTATGAAGGATCTGCCTTTCCTGAAACCGTGTTGGACTCTATGGAGTCTATTGGTCATATTGAGGTGCTCCCTGATGCCATCATCAATAATACTTTCGAGTACTTTTGATACCACTAGGAGCAGTGCTACTGCTCCATGACTGGGGACATTTTGCCTGTCTCCACCCTTGTGAATCGGAGAAAATATGGCTCTTTTCCGCTCCCTTGGCAGTTTACCTGAACCCATCGGATGTTGGGGAGAGTCTCATGAAGGCTTACAGAGGGCTTTGGCGGACTGTTTCAGAACAGTTAGCCTGATGGCGTCACAAATCAAGGCTCTATAGCAATAATAATCTATATTTCGTGTAAACTGGTTTTTTCAAGAAATGCATGCCACTTTTACAGGCACGATCAGTTATGTTATAAATTGCAATCGTGAAGTATCATAAATTGATACATCTTCAAAAGTTTAAATTTTCCGATTATTGTACAAGCAACCAGAACAGGTTCTTATACATGTCAAATTGTAAACCCCTCGGTAAGGTCCCCACCAAAGTTGAGCGCCAGTCGAAACTTTGTTCCGCATCATGCTTATAGTTGTGATCGACTTGTGAACAGCGTACATTCGGGTAAGTGCTGTGCTGACGTTAATCGTCCACGAAACCAGAGTCTCTTATAGTCTTCTCGTAGACCGAACGTATTCCTGTCTCGCCGCTCCCTAGACACTGCTGCATAATCCAGTCCATCAAAGTCAGGAGCATCATCAGTGATAGTAGGCAGGCAGGCTTTTCACTCCTGTCTTCAGCTCAGATGCCATCCTGAGTTTTCCGTTGCAGACCACCTGATAAGAGAGCGTTATCATGCCTGTTGATTGAGGTTGACAAGGATTTGCGGAGCTGCAGCCCATGACGTTGAAGTGGCTTCTAAATTACTCGTATTCAACGCTTTTGAAGGTCTTTTCAAAATCGATGAAGTTGAGATAGAGGCAGTGGATAAAGGCACACACGGGCTGTTGTTACGAGTTATCACGATGTTGTGTTTGGGTTTTTATCAGTTGTTTTCAAGTGTTTTTACAACTGAAATACATTATAAATGCCATATTTTAACGGAAAAACTTAGAAATATGGTGAAAAGTAGACGCCTTCAGCAGTTTGAGTGGACATGTATCTGTCATCGAATTTCGTTGTTTCTTTGCATGTGGAGTGTTAAAACTCTGAGTAAATTGTTGATTACATTAAGAAAAACGAAATAAATCAGGTAATTGAAGTATATTTTGCGAAACTCTCAGGTGCTGTTTTGAATCTCTGGGTTATGAAAAGTTGGTAACAGTCAGAAGAGTTTACAGCTATAAAAGAGAGTTAGTTGATTTATTCGTAAGATAACAGTTAATAAACAAAGTTTCCTAAAAGCTGCTGCCAATATAGTTGAAGATTGAACGATCAATTCATGGTTGTTTGCTAAAAACCAACTTCCCCAATTTTCGCGGAGACATCGATACACCAGTCATCATCCAATCGGTCGCTGTTCAGAAAGAAGTCAGGAGACAAGCGTCAGAAGTAATATTGTGATTTATTATTGTAATATTTGTTCATTGACTTTAGTTAAAGCTTAATTTTAAAGTTGGATATATGTTGGTGTTACAATAAAGAATTCTCGAGTAGCCAATCTGCGTTTTGGTTTTGAGTCCGTTATTACTAGGCGTTCCTGAGAAACTTCAAGGAACAGCGTGAGTCCCAGCGTAGCAAGAGCTGGGCGTTAACGGTTTACGAGACGTGGCTGATAGTTTCTGACAGTGAAGTCAGATTTCGACGGTTTTGGACCGTTGGTGACAGTTTGGATAGTCACCGTTCATCTTTCCTGGTGCCGGCCAGGTCCTCTTTGAACAAGCAATATCTGAAACGTTTTTGGAATTGGGTCAAGTTCAACAATGCCTGGGTCAAAGAAGGGACAGAGCGTCTTGGATGCAAACAGGAAAGTAAGTCATGGTGACTTGTCTGTTACGTGTAACGATGTGTCTGATGTTAAGCATGACATGGTTGATGCTACTGTTTCGCCGTCCAGGTATAATAGGACCATCAAACTCCCTAAATTTGAACCATGGTGTTTCGATGGAAACCCAGCTGATTATTTACAGTTTGTAAAGGAGTTTGAGGTCATGCTGAGTAGTTTTTTATTAAGTGATGAATGGAAATTGATGTAATAATAATATATTTCTTCCTGTTTATGCAGGAACATACCAATTGTACAGGCATGGATAAGTTATTATATAAATTACACAAAATTTGATGTATAATGGATTTACAGTTTGGTTGTTCTTTCTGACATCAAAGTCAGTCGGAACAGTCTGCTATAAAGTTTGTTTGTGTAGCACATAAAGAGATATAGAAATATTGTCTTCGCATTAACAAAAAACCCAGACATCAGATGAATGTAATACAAATATCTGGGAAAAATAAAGCTTGAAGTCAATTCTCCTATATAACTTTGTTGTGAACAGCACCCTTGGCTTAAAGATTATTGATGTATTATGTTGAGATCAGTGATATATTTATTCCATTTTTTCAGTAGTCTTATCGTAGTTTTATAACAGGAAAGAAATTTGATCGTGGATACGAAAACTAGATAAGGTCATGTTGGGTTGTTTTACTGCATCAAATGGTGCCGAGGTCGATTCCAGAATTCTCCATTTGCTCCATTTGTGTCTGCATGGCGGACTGTATTCGTAAGTTGAGTAAAATGTTGAAAACTGTTTGAAAACCAGTTGCTTCTTCATTTCAGATCATGAATACTCATTTACAGCATGTTCGCCAGCGTCTTCAAATGGTAGAATTGGATCGTTCATGGAATTTGAGTGGTTATGAGATAGACGGTTTGGAATTAATCCTCATTTCAGTTTAGATGCAGGGTTGTTCGACCTCGACCAGAAGATGAATAGGAGCAGCAAAATACCAGAAAGAGAAAGTATGTGAACATGAAAAGGACATTTATATATTATGCATTTATAAATGTTTATCTTAATTGTAAATTATACTTAAGTAAACATTTTTCTATATTGTATTTGTTTTCACGTATTTATGCGAAGTCTTAGAGTTTATTTAATGTCATAA